TTGATTGCTTATCATTTAATATTCTAATATCGATGAAATATGGATGATAAATGCCATTAAAGAAATATTTGATATTAGCACCATTGCAATATAACAAAACATGAACCGTCAATTTCACGACAGTATCAGCATATATCATCATACAGATCATAATATATTTTCACGATAATTCCATCAAGTATTTTACATTCATTTTCATCAGTTATGAGCGACTGACATTCCCTATCAACCCTTGTGACAGATTCAGCGAGAGCGAGAGCACGCGAGAGGTGCATCAAGCTTCACTTTCCTTAGATAAGTGTTGCCGCGAAGCCTCGGGTCAGTGCACGGCGGCAGGCTGCGGGTGCGGAAGCCGTCGTCTGCGATCGGCACGCGGGTTATGCGGCTCTGTCTGTGCCACTTGGTCCCTTCCTGAAAATAGGAAAATGTAAATATGACGAATTGATCATTTACTCTGTACATGAAGGTATGCGCATAAATACCCTCACACACATATATGTACAAATATATATGTGTGTGTGTGTGTGTTTATATGTATCTATATCTATTTATCTATCTATACATATATATGAATAGATAGATAGATATATTTGCATCACACACACACAAACAAACACACACACACACACACACACACACACACACACACACACACACACACACACACACACACACACACACACACACACACACACATTATATATATATATATATATATATATATATATATATATATATATATATATATATATATTCACTTATGTGCATATACATATATGTACGTGTATAGGGATAAACATATAAATATGCAGTTTATTTCACCCAAAGAATTTGCTTCCGAGAAAACAGGCCAAACCCTTCCACTTACCTCTACATAGCCTATATAAATGTCAAGGTTCGAATAACCGAAGGAGCGAAGGATGCTCCTGAGCGTCTTGGAGATCTGAAGGAGGCAGGACTCGCAGGGAAGGAGGTACGTGAAGAGGTAGAAGGCCCGGAGAGGCAGACTGGAGGGGCCCGCTTCCAGCAGCCTCGCCATTCGCGACGTGATGATCTCGTATTCGCCTCCGGGCTGCGACTGCCGGAAACCGAGAATATTCTGGGTTAAGGTTGAGGGAAAGAAGTGCCAGGCTTTCGGTGCCTGAGATACTGACCGTACACAGAGTGCAACTACTGACGTCTCCATCTGCCAAGGAATTATTTTCTTTCCAGGATGATTGCTTTTCTCCTCATGAGCAGGAGATGGAGGTCCGTAGTGCTATTTACTGCATTACAAGATGACCGTTTTTGCACGTAGTATTCTATGCTAATGTTTTTGCACATCGTCTCCTATGATGATATCTCATCTGTTGTTCCTGAATACAGAGTGTTAGAACTCGCAAAATTACAGTTATACCATTGCACAAAATACTAAGACTTCACAGTCAACATTTACTGCATGGCCCTAAAGCAAACTATAACAGATGAAGTGAAACGTGTATCTCCCAAAATTCCGTCGCCCGAAGAGCCTCTCACTTCCAGACTCCTGTGGCAGGCGTCGCACAGGTCGCCGGCGGACGTCCCGGAAATCCCCACTTCGCCCCTCTTCTTCTCGAGGTCCTCGATGGCGACGCTGAAGTTCTGGGCCATGTTCCCCCCGTCGTGCGGCCACACCGGGTGGTACTCGTCCACAAGGGGGGCGTCGTTCCCGGTGGCCGTGGCGGGGTCCGGGAGGACGGACAGAGGATCGTTGCCGCGCGCCAGCAGGATCATTCCGAACTGCCGGATGGCCTGGGTGGGGGGGGGGCAAGTTTTGCGTTAGTTTCTGATTTTGTTCTCTAGCTTTCTTTTCACGATATGCGTATTTATATAGAGCCCCCAAACCCACACGTATGTGTAGCAATTCATATATGTATATATTCGCCTGTATATGCGTGGTGTGTGTGTGTTGTGTGTGTGTGTGTGTGTGTGTGTGTGTGTGTGTGTGTGTGTGTGTGTGTGTGTGTGTGTGTGTGTGTGTGTGTGTGTGTGTGTGTGTGTGTGTGTGTGTGTGTGTGTAAAGTTCGCCTTTTATCTAACCAGCCTACCGAGGGTTTGACACTTCTGGCGAAGTCGTGCATGGCCTTCAGCGTGCGGTCGTGCTCGTCCCCCGCCCGGCGCGCGGCCAGGAACAGCCCCATGACGACGCTGAGGGCCGCAGGGGCTGCCTTCATCGATACGACAAAATGCATGGCTGTAAGAGGTGCACGGTCAGCTCAGTAGCTTTCGGATTAGGGCAGCGTGTATGTGTTTTCGTTCACACCAATTTAAAAAAAGAATGATCGCATAATATCTCTGCCATGAAATCTTTTTTTTTTTTTTTTTTTTTTTGTGAATGCTCCTCACAGTTATTTTTACTATAACAGTTCTCTTTTACGCACTTCCGCGTTCGCACTTTAGAAAACCACATTCAACATGTAGCTTCGAGCTTCAAAAACCCTCACCTTTTCACGTCTTCGGGTTGCTGAGGCGTGACAAACTCGTCAAAAGTTCCTTAGCCTCGCCTCCTGCGTTCTGTCCCTCCCCCTTTACCGCCCCTGTTCCTCATTGGCTGACAGCGAGAACACTGGCTGCATTGTACGTCCCTCTGTCAGGCCATCTTAGTCCACTTGACTGAGCGAGAAGAGGGAGAAAGGGGAAGAGAAAGTAAAAAGGGAAGGAGAAAATTGCGAGGTAGGACATGGGAGAAAGGCCAAGAGATGTGCAGCAGGTTGGTAGGAGACAGAAAGAGAGAAAGACAGATGGGGTGGAAGGAGAGAAACACAAGCTATAAGGATACCCAGATTATCAATATTCATTTATATCTATATTTTTATGTCTTTTTGCTTGTCTCTCAATTTCTCTTTAAGTCTTTATCTAACCATATCTCTCTCACTCATTCACTCATTCTCTCTCTCTCTCTCTCTCTCTCTCTCTCTCTCTCTCTCTCTCTCTCTCTTCTCTCTCCTCTCTCTCTCTCTCTCTCTCTCTCTCTCATCTCTCTCCTCTCTCTCTCTCTTCTCACTCTCTCACTCTCTCCTCTCCTCTCACTCTCTCTCTCTCTCTCTCTCTCTCTCTCTCTCTCTCTCTCTCTCTCTCTCTCTCTCTCTCTCTCTCTCTCTCTCTCTCTCTCTCTCTCTCTCTCTCTCTCTCTCTTCTCTTCTCTCTCTCTCTCTCTCTCTCTCTCTCTCTCTCTTCTCTCTCTCTGTCTCTCTCTCTCTCTCTCTCTCTCTCTCTCTCTCCTCCTCTCTCTTCTAATCTCTCTCCTCTCTCTCTCTCTCATTCCTCGTCTCTCTCTACCTTCTCCTTCGTCTCATAGGAAAGAAAAAAAAAAAAAAGAAAGCATTGAGATATATATTTGTATATGGTTGTGTTGTGTATATAGTCGTACTGGTTTGTGATTGTGTTTAATGTGATAATGTCTAGTGTAAACACACCATTAGATACACACACACTAACACTTACACACACACACACACACACACCACCATCCACACACAGACACACACACACTACACACGATACTTTAACACACACGACTACACACACCAAGACACACAACACAAACACACACACACACACCCACACTAACACAACACTGATGCATCACAATTCAACGACAACACACACACACATCACAACACACTACATAACACATACACATATATATATATATGGTTGTGGATTGTATATTACTATATATAATTAATTATATTATTAATATAATAGTATTTAATAATAACATATTTTTATTATTATATAATTCGAAATAATGCTATTATATGTACGTCATATGTGTGTGTGAATGGTGATTATCTTGTTGGTGAATTTGGATATATATCCGTGCTGGTGTGTGTGATTTGTTGTGATCTTTACCACTAATCCAGCCTATAACATCAAACTCTAGAGATACTGATAATTAATAGCCCAAAGAAACTAGAATGTTAGCGTATAGGTGCGTGTGATGTAGCCGTGAGTATGCGTTATGTCGTTAGTGCGTAGTGCGTTGTGCGTGTGTTGGTTGACTGCTGCGTGTTGTGTATGTTGGTGGTGTGTATTTTATATTTATATTGATATATGTGTGTGTGATATTGTGTGTGTGTTGACAATATGTACTTTAAAAGGACATTAACGGTAGATATTATGTGTGTGTGTAGATGATTGTGTGTTAGTGTGTGTGTGTGTATATGCAAAAAAAACGAATTACAGAATAGAAAATATCATAATCTCAATATTTCAGCGCTTTAACAGTAAAAGTGTATGGATGATATTTCTTTAAGTATATATATTTATTACAACTGATGCTATATGTATACGAGATATACGTATTGATATATAATCAGATTTTCTTGTTATCGTTATGAATATTTGAAAATTGATGCATAATGTAAAGATATATGGTATAAAATTATAAAATGGTATCACTAGTGAAATCTATTATACGGATGTCTTATATATGTGTCACTTAGTCTTATTGTATGTCACTTAAAAGGCTGCCTCCTAGGCCTTCTCACAACAATCCCTCAATTTCGATACCTGAGAAGTTCGATGTCGATTTGTCTTATTCATACTATCTATCCTCAGTGTCTTCTTTAATAAACTTGAGGTATATTGGTCATAAATTATGTACTACTGCGAAAAGAAAGCTTATTGGATAGATGTAGTAAAATGACCGTGTTAGGATAATGTATTATGAATGTCTAAAATTTGAGATACCATACTGACTTGTAAAAGAACCAAAAACTAAGAAAAATGTGGTTGATTCTTAATTATGTGTTCTCTATGTATTATTTTTCAAGTCAGTATTTTAACCTGTCAAGAATAATATTCATTTTTGAAGCAGTGCATGGTAATATACTGTAATGCATATTTTCATGAAATAGTTATGCTTAGACTATGCAGTATATGATATAGATAGTATGACCTAACTGTTAAACTAGTGATTGTTGTTGATGGATTTATGGTGTGTTAATGAGTTGGTGTACTGATCGTTATGTTCCGCATCATACTTGATGTGTTGGGTGTGCTCTAAGATGACGGACCTATAGAGTTCGTGGTTGGCATATATTACATAGTATAAGCTTACTTAGATTATTTGTGCTACTCTGTTACTGTTTTGATCAGTGAATTATTAGGTACTACCACACATTTACCTATACACATGCAACAGAATGCAGCCTCGAGTATCAAACACATAGTGCTAAACTAGCACTGATAGCATCGACACTGACCATACATACCCATCACTCATAACATTCATCTGATAATCACAAAAGACCACTATAACTCTTACCATACACACCACTAGCAAGTTATGATTGAGTGTCAAATCATTGTAATGTCGTATATATTGAATTAGTGCAATACTATATGTATGATAATTTTATTTTTACTCTAAAGGTCTATGTGAGGATATTTTTGGCAATCTGCTCAGATAAAGATTTATATATATATATAATGGTGACTTGAGTGTTAAACATTTATATTATATTATATATATTATATATGTAAAATTTTTGCATTATATAATAGTTGTAACATAAATAAATTGCTCAATATTCAGTATTAAGCTAATTTATTTTTGATTGTCTATCTATATAGAAATTTTGATAATATAGCTCTAATTAATCACTATCTTATGAATATTATTACACTTACATGATATTTAACTCAATTAAAATAAAAAATCCTTATTATACATTAATAGGGTCTTAGCTAATTAACTATATAAAAAGAAGGATAAGGGATAAATCACTCAATTATACCAAATAATTGTCTCACACTGTTATCATATTATTCATTACAATTAGATTTAGCAGATTACAAACTCAATACTTTTAAATACATATAGATCATTAACAATGAAAGTGATGATAGGATGGTAGATATTATTACAAGATACCTTTTCTTTAGCATAACTTGTTTAAAACAAGTTAACTTAAATACTGTGTTACAGTGTCGTTAGTAGTACTGTAGATGTATTAAATATTAAGTATACATGTCATTATTTTTGTTCTCAACAGATATTCTATTAATATATAATGTATCAATATGTAAAATATAATGATTATTCTTATCTGCCCATATATAAAGTTTATTTCTTTTAGATAAGTCTAATTAATTATATATAGTAATTTGAGCTTTTTAATGGCAGAATTTTATAATTGATTTATAATTATATTAATGAAGAAGAGATATGAGTTACTAATGAACCTTCTATATTCTTAGAATTTCGAGTGGAAACAACTTTTTACTTTGTTGTGCTTTTTATATTGTACGTGGTGTGGTCTACAGTTATTTCCAATGATGTAGTAGCGTTTTGTTGGTGTGTAATGATATGAAGAGGGAGGAGGAGGTAGGGAGGGAGGGAGGGAAGGGATGGGAGGGTTTTGCTGTTGTGACATACTATTGGTTACATCATTATAATAGTTATGAGGGAGGAGGGATGAGTAGAGGGATGGGAAAGTGGCAGGGTAGGTGAGGGAGGGAGTAGAAGAGAGAGGAGAGAGGGGAGAGGAGAGAGAGAGAGAGATAGAGAGAGAGGAGGAGAGAGAGAAGAGTATGATGAGAGAGAGACGATAAGAGAGAGAGGTATGAGAGAGACGAGAGTGAAGAGAGAAGAGAGCTTGTGTTGTGTTAGTTAGTGTGTGTTGTGTGTGTTGTGGTGTTTGTGTGTGTTGTGTGTGTGTGTGTGTGTGTGTGTGTGTGTGTGTGTGTGTGTGTGTGTGTGTGTGTGTGTGTGTGTGTGTGTGTGTGTGTGTGTGTGTGTGTGTGTGTGTGTTGAGTGTGAGTGTGAGTGTGAGTGTGTGAGTGTGAGTGGAGTGTGAGTGTGAGTGTGAGATGGAGTGTGAGTGTGAGTGTGAGTGTGTGGGTGTGGGTGTGGGTGTGGGTGTGTGCGTGTGGGTGTGGGTGTGTGCATGTGCATGTGCGTGTGCGTGTGGGTGTGTGCGTGTGCGTGTGTGTGTGTTTTCTCTCTGAGATCATCTCACATATTCAAAAATGGTAACAGTAACATGGTATGTGGTGTTTTCTTATATCTCAGTATTCTAGTCTAAAGTAAAAACTAATAAAAATATTAATAAAATAAAACTTGAATAACTGATTTAAAAAAATAACACAATTTTGATTCATGATTTATTAAAATACCTTGAAAAGCTAAAATTAAAAAATATATCAGTAGCTGCAAGAAACACATTTTTAAAATTGTGATATAATATTATCTAAATCCATAACTATAGAAACTGAATCCTTCACATTAAAAAATAATAATAATAATGCCTTTTACTTCTCATTCATAGGCATTTTCTTGCAAATATGACAAAATAATTCAACACTGAAAGGACTGAGTAAAGTCTTAAGTTATGATTACTATCCTTTATAGAATGAGCAGCTGTACTTGTCTTAATTCACATTCTGAAGCCATACGTTGATTTGCCATTTCAGCTTATAATGTTTTGACTGCGAAGTGTCAAACTTAATTTATCTCTACAGCTTAGATAACTTTGAAGGGGTCTGGCATGCACCTCCCTCATTTCTTCAAAGTGATATGTGACTGAAAGGAAGTTTTCTCTATTTGAGTCATGCATTAAATTTCATGCCTTTGAGTTCCTTTGATTATGGGCTCATTCTCTGACAAATGTCAAAAACATTCAAAAAGATTTTGCAAAAAGCCAAGTCAATTTCATTTAATCTTCTTGTCATTACCAAGGTTTTTTTTCAATCTGTTTTCATAGGTGTTTTATCAGATGAAAGAAAGTCATTTTCACAAAAATCTTCCACTGGTTTCATTATGAAAAGAAAAACACTTTCTACAGAGGTGTTGAAAATGGCAGCCATTCCCAAATATATTACTTGTGACAATATCTTTGACCAGAAAGTTTCTTAATTATATGAATGAATATTTCTCTCAACATTTATTATAAGATAATATGGTAATTATAAACAGAACAATTTTCTAAAAATCTTAAATAATTTGATATCAATATAAGTACTATCAGTTGTCAAGAAAAAAATATAGTAGGCATTTCTAATTAATTAACTTTAGCCCTTCTCTCTACAACCCCCAAAATTCTATTACATAAATAACAATGAAAAGAACATAAAGCACCTGGGCAATTATCTGTACATAGGTTGCACTGACTGTGTTTTCTCTTTCTTGAATTAAAATCTATATCCTTAACCATTCTGTCTGCATGATATGAGAGGAAGTCCTATCACTGGGCTCATAAATTGAGATTCACTCTCCATTCAAGATTACACGGTGATAACAATGCTGATACACACTTGCCTTGTCTAGGCCTTTTATTTACCCATTTCATGATAAATGCACTGCACTCACAGATTAAAGCTCATGCACAAGAACTGGATGCAAAGATGGTGAAAGCAGCCAAAACAGCACCAGGAACACACAAGCCTGGTACCATCAAGTATACAGGCAGAAAATTAGTGTTTTACATATGATCAAAAACTTCCCTTGATATACATGGCACAAATGTCTTTTTCTTCTTACCACTGAAGAGCAACACATGAGATGCAGAAAACATTAAGGTTAATAAATGCTGTATAACCAGAGAGCCTACAAATGCCAAAAGCAAATAATCAATCACAAATCTTAAAAAGTAAAACATAACAGTGCACAAAAAGATATCAAAATTCATCACCCTAACTCATATACTTGCAATAATCAACCTTATAAAATAAAGCTTTCCCAACACAATAAAAAGAAAGATCTGTCTCTGGCATCAGCTTACCATGCTGCAAGCACCATCAGAGTCACATGAAAATGCTTGAATATCTAAGTACTTATTTAAAAACAAAAAAAAATTAAAATGCAATGTAAATGAAATGCATATTTCATTAGACGAGAGCCCCAGACACAAAGAAAAGGTATCACGGAGAGACTAGGGACTATCAATGCACAGCGTTAGCACCCACTTCCTCTATCCTTTGAAAGAAAAAAAAAATGCAGTCTCAGGCTAATACTGTTGAAACAATGACAAAAAAAGAAAAATATCTTTGGTTTACAGAGAGTATGTTAATAAACATTTACACATAAACATCACTCTTAGTTGTCTCTTCACCTATGTTACACAGCAAGAAAGTCGGTGGCACTTAGAAATCACACCTATTAATGCCATTCTTTTCAGGAACCCGAAGTTTATGTCTAATTGGGCTGATTCAACAGTACACTGACTCCTTCTTCATGTCCTGACAACTTATCACAGCAGCACTTGCAATCCTTGTGGCAAGATCATTTATTCCTTTTTTTTTCTTTTTTTATTAGTATTTCTATTAAAGTATATAAAGCCCAGCAAACTGGACCTAAGAAATTGCAGTCATAAATCATTTAAAACTCACCAAATTACAGCAAGTGAATTTATAATGAAATCTATAATGCAATTTATTTTTATTCTTCTATAATCTGGAATATACATAACCAAAACAGTGATTTCTTCATAAATATAAGTTCTGAAAACCAGTTACACACTGTCAACATATCACTTTGGCTTTGGAGCCAAAATAGGTTTCACCTCTTGGCTTTTTCTGGACGGTGCTTTTGTTGAAGGCTTGAGGTCTTGAGATTCGGCTTCCTTCTTCTCAAATTTCTGTTGCAAGGAAGCAACGTGTGTGTTGCTTATCCGACCAGCACGGTTTGGCCCGGAGGTTCCAGGTCCAGTAGTGGGTTTGCTGGCCGGACCACCTGGCACCTTACCAACTGCTTGGATTGGTTTTGCAGTCTGTTTCTTTGGTCCCGTCTTCTCTGTTGCTTTGTCAGAGGGCTTGCTGCTAACTTTATTTCCTGTCTTGTCTGAAGGTTTGCTGCCTATCTTTTCTGATTTCTCTACTTTACTTACTGGCTTTGGGTCAACCTTATCGGATGATCCGGTTGTTAATTTCTTGGCTCCAGGTTGTGGCGTTGTACTACGGCTTTTATCTGCACGACCACTACTTGTTGCTGTGGTGTTACGTGTGGGTGTGGTGCCCCTACTAGTTGGTGTTGTGCCTCTTGTTGGTGATAAGACTCTTCCTGGCTTTCCTGTTGGTGTTGTTGCTTTTGACTGAGAAACAGACCCACGGCCTCGTGAACCACTGGTTGGGGAGAGAATGGATTCTTTTTCATTTCCACTTTTGGTTTTTTCATCTTTTGTGGCTGATGATCCTTTATCCTCTGTAGAAGTGGATGAAACTACAAGTTTATCTGGTGGGAATATAACCTTATCGGAACCGACTGTTTTTGCTAGCTTTGTGCTGTCCCAGCTTTTGCTGTGGTGGCAGTTGAGCTTGGCAATGTAACAGAAGAGGTAGTTATAGAAACTGCTGCCTTTGTGAAGGGCTTAGGCACACTAGTTGTCAATAATGGTGTTCCTTCTGTCTTGGGACCTGTTTTCAGAAGACCAGATTGTTTGTTTGTGTTCCAAGTATTCTCCCCCAATTTATTGTTTTTTGCTGATGATGATTCACCTCCAGTTGCTGCTGCTGCTGCTGCGGCTTCCCCTGCTGCAGCTCCTGCTGCTCTCACTGCTGCAAGAGAAGCAGCTAAAGATTTTGATGCAGGTACTGTGCTACCTGCAGATGTACTTTTAATGTCTGTAGTGGTGGCTGGGCTTGCTGTTTCTGATTTTGGAGTTTTCTTCCCTCCAAAGATGCTTGCACTGGTTTTACTCGCTGGTGCTGCTGCAGAAGTGACTGAATTTTTGTTTAATGATTCTGATGTATTACCTTTCCCTCCACTATTCATATATGAAAAGACGCCTCTTGGAGTTGGACCACTAGTTTCTTTTACACTGCTATCACTCAATTTTGCTGTTGTTGTCACTGGCTTGGTATTAGTTGTTGCACTAGTTGTGGAAGTAGTTGTTGAAGTACTGGACTTCCTTGCAGTTTCCCTATTGGCCCTCCAAGGATATAATGAACTTTTGCTCGGTCCATTATTAGCTATTATTGAGCTTTTTTCACTTTTGTTTTGGGTTTCACCTGAACTTGTGCCAGACTTTCCAAAACCTATCTTTTTATTTTCCTGACCTGTAGACGTAGGTGTTTTTTTTGTATCTCCTATTTTGGTCTTCTTATCATTCTTTCCTAAACCACTTACAAATTTGTCATCCCTATTTGAGAGTTCTGACACAATTTCTGAGAGCAGTCCTCCATCTTCTGAACTCCCACAACTTGTTCTATTACTGTCTCCAACAGCAGGAGATGGAGGGCTAACTGAGGAAGATTTACTACTTGCCTCTCCTGAGGTACTGGTAGCCTGTGTACCTTTAAGATTCTTCTCTGTTTCTGGAGGAGACTCTACAAGGTTTGTGTAAATAGGCTCTGAGACAGGTTCCACTTCCTCTGGAGTGCTTTTCTCTTTACTAGGTTTCTTTTTGGGTTTGTTGTAAAGGAATGAGAATATTGACTTCTTTTCCTTTTTCCCTTCAACAGCATCAGGAGGTGCATATGTAACCTCCTGCAGTGGTACTTCTTTGTCAGGTGTTTTTTCATCAATAGTTGCATATATGCTTTCTGGGGAGTTATCATCATCTATATCTGCTATGGGAGCAGTTCCTTCTTGTATATTAAGACAGTCATCATAGAAGCACTCAGACTCTGGTGTTCCAGGAATCATAGGAAGTGGGGGCCTGGGGGGAGGCTCTGAGGGTCTAGTTGGTGGTAGGCTCTTTGGCCGTGGTGCTCTCATGGAACCGAACTTGGGAATGGCTGGACGTATTGTAACTGGAGCTTCACGCATGCTACCTATTCTTTGGAGTTCCATTGTGGGGTCCTTCCCTGTACTGTCTAAGGCTGACGGTGTCCATGTGACTCTCATGCTAGAACGGGTGTCACCAGAGCTTGGAGTTTTAACCTTGTCATCTGGGACGGATGGGGCCCATGACACCTTGTTTGGCTTACCAGTTTCTTCTTGATTTGCTTTCACTTGGCTTGGCTTCAGATTGCTAGGCATTGGAGGCTCAGGTGCAGACCTGACTGGAACTAGATTGGCAGGAAGTTCTGTGGCATGTAGTTGCATGGGTGCAGAGATTTCTAATTGCATGAGGCTCTCTCGTTTAATCTTGGCAGCTTTCCTTGGGAGAGTGTTTGAGCATCCAGCTTCTACATCTGACTGACTAGCTTCACTTCCTTGTTTGTCCTTCTTTGTAAGGAAAGATGCAATTCTTGCCACAGTAGACTGTTTATCTCCCTCCTGTGGTTTTGACTCAGTCTCTGACTCACATGAATATTCCTGTGCCTGAGCTACCAGCGTTGAGGCATCAGGCACAGACAGTGGCCGAGAGTTTAAGCTTGGAGCTCGGCGTGAGGGTGAAATGATTGCTACTTGAGGTGCATTGGCATAAGCAGCTGGAGATGCTGTTGTAATTGCTGCAGGACTCAGTGTTGCTGTGGCAGTGACAGGGGGTGGAGGAGGTGCTGACCTGCTGGGTAGTGCAGACTTTGATACTGAAGGTGCAATAGCAGGGTTGGTAGACCCCTGTAAACTAGGTCCACTGATACTCATCTTCGTCACAGACCCAGTCCCAGTATTATTACTGGCTTTTTGCACTTGTGGATATAATCCCTTTGACTGCCAACCAATTACTGAGGGATTGTCAGTGGGACCATTACTCATAACTGTAGGTGGAGCAGGAGGAGCAGATGCTACACTTGCTGCAGATACTGCCTTTACAGCAGCAGGCGGAGGTGGAATAGGAGGTGGAGCACCAGCACTCTTTACTCCTGGAGGAGACTTCTCCTTCAGAGGTGATAGAGTAAATCCTTCATGCTTTCCAAACAGATTTTTACTGAACAGATTCCCCTTATCAGGTTGATCTCCGCTCATGATAGAGGTGGCATGACCATTGAGCAGAGGGCTGTTACTCTTGGAGCCTTGCGATGATGGAGGAGTGGGGGATCTTGGGCTGATGATGCCACTAGTAACGTTGATCTCAGCCTGTCTCCCGATTCCTCCTGCCTCCACACCAAGTGACCCAGGAGGCCGACTGCCACGCTTGCCGGTGTCCACATGAGGCAACCTGAAAAGAAGATACATTCATAAATATTCTTCAATCATGTACAGTAAATGTACTTAGCAATAATATGGCTGACAATTATATGACTATGGCATTAGTCATAATAGATATACTTAAGAATCCAAAGTTATTTCAATGAGAAGCTTCCCTCGCGTTTATCAGAAATTCCTTACAATAAAAGATTACATACATATAATCTTTATGTATATATATATATATATATATATATATATATATATATATATATATATATATATATATATATATATATATATATATATGTATATATGTATATATGTATATATGTATATATGTATATATGTATATATATATATATATATATATATATATATATATTATATATATATATATATATATATATATATATATATTATTTATATATAATATATATATATATAATATATTATATATTATATATATATATATATTATATATATATATATATATATATATATATATATATATTATATATATATATATATAATATATATAATATATATATATATATATATATATATATATATATATATATATATATATATATAATATATATATATATATATATATATATATATATATATATATATATATATATATATATATATATATATATATATATATATATATATATATATATATATATAATATATATATATATATATATAAAATATATATATATAAAAATAATATATATATATATATATATATATATATATATATATATATATATTATAATATATATATATATATATATAAAATATATATATAATATAATAATATATATATATAATATATATATATATATATATATATATAATATATATATATATATATATATATATATATATATATATATATTATATATATATGTATAAATAATATATATATATATATATATATATATATATATATATATATATATATATATATATATATATAGAGAGAGAGAGAGAGAGAGAGAGAGAGAGAGAGAGAGAGAGAGAGAGAGAGAGAGAGAGAGAGAGAGAGAGAGAGAGAGAGAGAGAGAGAGAGAGAGAGAGAGAGAGAGAGGGAGAGAGAAAGAGAGAAGAGAGAAAGAGAGAGAGAGAGAGAGAGAGAGAGAGAGAGAGAAGAGAGAGAGAGAGAGAGAGAGAGAGAGAGAGAGCGCACTATGTAGATATATGTATGTATATATGCATGTCAAAACAAAGGTAACAATCCTATCCAATCAAATGTGACTTCTGCCTAAAACTTTTAAAATTATATCTAAATATGCAAAATGTAGTAATATTTACTAGTGTGATATTATGCATGCACACGCGTTCCTTGAGGACATGACCACAATTTAGTGATTCTACATATCAAAATTACATATTACACTGAAATGTTCTCATTTCATAAGGCTATTTAGTTAAATGTATACAGATTACATCTCTCACTGGTCTCACTGAAGAGTCAAGAATGATAATAATAAAAAAATGTGGTAAAGGTGCAGAAATTGTGCTCATAACTGCATTAGCCAAAATAATCATGCCTCTCTGAGGCCAAACCAATTTGGTTTTACACCTGATACTTACAAATCTATAAATTTACTCATATTCTATGCATCAAAGAAAGAATCCAATGTGCTTCAAGAGGTTAGAGGTAACATCACTTAACACTTAACTGAACACTATCAGAACAGCAATACTTTGTCCAAGTGAATAAATGCTCAGTAACTGCCTCTTGCTGTATTTCATGTGATACTATAATATATCTGGAAAAGGATTCATTGGTCTACCTCTGCCTCATAGAAATATTGATGATAGTATTACCAAGTTAGACATTCCCAGAGTTTCTATCAATCCCTGGCAGTGCAAGAATCTTTTTTTGAAATGTGTCTGAAACAACTGTAAATTTTCACAGTATTATTTATCTATCATAATAAATATGAGTATATTTTCATTCTTCTGTTTTCCAACATATAGGGTTCCCTTTGCATAATTTTCTTGACATCTATTACTTCATCTATTGCTTCATCTGTATTTTGAAGTTCAACCTAAAACTAATAGCCTATACTGTGTAGTATATTAGCTTTAGTCCTACCTAAACCCTACATAATAAGACTCTATATCAACAGCCATTATAGAGTCAAAATATGCATAGACACTTGGGGGGAAATGTAGCATGCTGTAGTCCATCTACAGTGCCTATTATCTCCACATAAATGCTGTTTTTCCTATATTCCTAGTTAAACATAAACAGCAACAGCACAAAAATGCTGACAGAGATGACAATAGCCAATTCCTTCTGCCTACCTGCCTCCTTTCTGTACCTAACTCACCTTCTGGCAGCCTAAAGAAAAGCCTTCTTATCAACCTGTGGTCTTTCTTGTCTATTTGATTCTGAAATCTCTCGCCTGCATTTTATCACTATAGGTATCTAAACATTTAATGTGAGGTTCAGTAAGAAAAAAATTTAGTGCAGTCAAAAAAGTATTTATACTGATGATGTACTGGTGATGTAATGTTCCATAACAATTACATATCCTACACCATGGAATTATAGCACATTTATGGAACTAATGAGGCACACACACAGAGCAGAGGGGGGAGAGAGAGAGAGAAGAGAGAGAGAGAGAGAGAGAGAGAGGAGAGAGAGAGAGAGAGAGAGAGAGAGAGAGAGAGAGAGAGAGAGAGAGAGAGAGAGAGAGAGAGGAGAGAGAGAGAGAGAGAGAGAGAGAGAGAGAGAGAAGAGAGAGAGACAGGAGAGAGACAGGACAGACAGAGACAGAGACAGAGAGAGAGGAGAGAGAGAGAGAGAGAGAGAGAGAGAGAGAGAGAGAGAGAGAGAGAGAGGAGAGAGAGAGAGAGAGAGAGAGAGAGAGAGAGAAGAGAGAGAGAGAGAGAGAGAGAGACTGAGACTGAGACTGAGAGACTGAGACAGACAGAGAGACAGACTGACAGATAGAGACAGAAACACAGAGATACACAGATACAGAGAGAGAAGAGAGAGAGAGAGAGAGAGAGAGAGAGGAGAGACAGGAGAGAGAGAGAGAGAGAGAGAGAGAGAGAGAGAGAGAGAGAGAGAGAGAGAGAGAGAGAGAGAGAGAGAGAGGAGAGAGAGAAGAGAAGAGAGGAGAGAGAGAGCAGAGGGAGAGAGAGAGAGAGAGAGAGAGAGAGAGAGAGAGAGAGAGAAGAGAGAGAGAGAGAGAGAGAGAGAGAGAGAGAGAGGAGAGTGTGTGTGTGTGTGTGTGTGTGGTGTGTGTGTGTGTGGTGTGTGTGTGTGTGTGTGTGTGGTGGTGTGTGTGTGTGTTGTATGGGTGTGTGTGTGTATACAGTGTGTATGAGTGTGTGTGTGTGTTGGTGTGTGTGCTGTGTGTGTGTGTGTGTGTGTGTGTGTGTGTGTGTGTGTGTGTGTGTGTGTGTGTGTGTGTGTGTGTGTGTGTGTGGTGGCTGTGTGTGGAAATACCAAGCTCACAGCAGAAATTACAGATTCTGGATAAAGAGAGTAGTGTTTATTTGAGTGCAATCTGCATTCACAGTGTTCCATTACAGTGCCACATTAACAAATGTAACTGCCCACACATACTGTAAATTACTATCTGAGAGTGTGATGTGTCACTCTCTACTTGGGGTTGGCAGTTAATGGTAAAAGGCAGATTTTTTTTCCTGCTCTTTGCCTGGACCGCACAATTCTTTGACCCTGTCGTCTTAACTTCATCTTTGGTGCCTGAGGTCAGAGACCCAACTGGAGGTGTGATGGTGTCAACCTTTCTCTTTCTCTTACAGCTGTATTGGGCATGTGAGATTCAATTACATAATGAAGACTATTTCACACTGTCAACTTTTAAATAACTGCATAAAAAATACTGTTGCATTACTAAAAAAAAACATTCTTTCTAAGCAATGAATGCTTGACAGCACGATGAGAGAGAGAGAGAAAAAGAAAGAGGAGAGAGAAGAAGAGAGAAGAAGAGAGAGGAGAGATGAGAGAGGAGAGAGAGAGAGAGAGAGGATAGAAGAGAGAAGATGGAGAGAGAGAAGAGAGAGGAGAGAGAGAGAGAGAGAGAGAGAGAAGAGACACAGAAAGAGAGACAGAAGAAAAGAGAGAGAGAGAGAGAGAGAGAGAGAGAGGACAGACAGGAAAGACAGAGAGACAGACAGACAGAAAAGACAAGAAGACAGAAGACAGAGAGAGAAAGAGAGAGACAGAGGAGAAACAGAGAGACAGAGACAGAAAGAGAGAGAGAGAGAGAGAGAGAGAGAGAGAGAGAGAGAGAGAGAGAGGAGAGAAGAGAGAGAAGAGAGATGAGAGACAGAGAGACAGACAGACAGACAGACAGAGACAGACAGACAGACAGACAGACAGAGACAGACAGACAAGACAGACAGAGACACAGAAAAAACAGAGAGAGGACAAAGACAAGACAGACAGACAGACAGACAAACAGAGAGAAGAGAGAGAGAGAGAGTGAGAGAGAGAGAGGAAGAGAGAGAGAGAGAGAGAGAGAGACGAGAGGAGAGAGAGGAGAGAGAGAGAGAGAGAGAGAGAGAGAGAGGAGAGAGAGAGAGAGACGAGAGAGAGAGAGAGAGAGGGAGAGAATGTACAGCAGCTACCATATAATCAGCAGATAATGTGAATGCCTTGTCACGTGGCTCACATTCACAGGGGTTTTCTAGAATATATATTTGCCAGGTGCTTTCTTTAGTTATGTGAGGTTGCTAACTTCAGAAAAAGTGTGGTGATGTTGATGGTTCACAAGTCAAAAATATTCTGACATTCACGTATCACCACATAGAGGGGAATCACTTAGAATTTTGCAAAACCACTGGCTTGTTGCAAAAGCTTAGGCAGACAGACAGAAATAGAGACAGAAAATGGCAGAAATAAAGAATAAACATATAGACAATGTGGGTAAGTGTTGTGGGAATTGCAGGCATTGTCTGCATACCTACTTATAAACACTTACAGATGTGTAGGCGTGTGCATACAGTACATTTTCTGTGTTTCCAAATGCACATATAAAACTGACTGCATAAATGATGAAGCTAAAACTAACTGCTAAATGATGATGAATAAAGTATCAAAAATGGCAATCCTAAGCATATAACCAACAGCACTAGTTAGTTGAATCCAGCAAAATAAACAGAGCTTTAGCCTTTCCTGTTAAGAAACCTCAGAACAATGCTTGTTCTGTATTATGAATGTAGTACGATATAACCTGAAGGAACTATAAAAACTTGAGATTTATAGCCGTTAAAAGAAGTGGGAACTAAGTAGTAACAGAGAAAATAGACCTGTAGATCACAATGTGTGCTGGCCATTGCAAAAATATAAAATGAAAATCAAATATATAATCAATACACAATGCATTGAGAGTGCTGTGTCCTGGATGATAAGCTCAACAAAGTAGAAAATATTTATTTTACAAAATCATAAATTTAGCATCTTGAACTTCAGAGGCCTCCAAATTTGATTAAACTCTGATGTAAAAAAAAGTTATATTTTTTAATTTGCTCAATGCAAGAAAACAATTCAGCAAACATTCTTAAAACTGCTACAAAAGTGCATAAAGCTGGCTACTGGTATGGTGAGTCGTATTGTGAATTTCTATTAGAGGTTACAAGCAATAGTGCAGTTGCCTAGTCATCATTCTCCAATTATAGAACAGCAGGAGATCAAATATATAGAAATCAAGAAAACAATGCCTTTTCTTAAAAATATAGCTATTCCAGTAATAATGTCTTTTTATGCAAGATCTAACTTCTTAAATCCCATTTTCAACTGCATCAGTATGTAATCTTATCCAAGTCACACATACAAAACTAATAATGAGATAAAAAAAAGAGATTTATATATATACATATATTTATATACATATATATATATATATATATATATATATATATATAATATATATATATATATTATATATATAATATATATATATATTATACATACATATACATACATATACATATACATGTACATGTACATGTACATGTACACGTACACGTACACGTACACGTACACGTACACTTACACACACACACACACACACACACACACACACACACACACACACACACACACACACACACACACACACACACACACACACACACACACACACACACACACCACACACACAACATATTATATATATATATATATATATATATATATATATATATATATATATATACATTACTATATCTGAAATTAAAATTTCATTAAAAGAACCAAACCAGTCTACTTTTGCTGTATACTTTATTTGAAAGAGCAATTTGTATCTGTACTTACTTTGACGTTGCAGGACGCCCTTTTGTCTCCCACCAAAGCTTGAGGTTGCCTCGGGTATAATACACCAGACACAGCACCACTAGACCTCCAGGGACAATGCCAAGGAAGAACACAAACATCCCAATGACGAAGTTGTTTGTAGCTGTTATGATAGAACACAAGAAGCACTGTCAGTGGCACTGAACAATATCTCTCCTTACAGTACTAACAGCTTCATAAAAATCTAAGTACACTATTATCTCTGACATCACTTTCTGACCTAATCCAAAAATCATGTAAGTCATATCAACAAATCAATTAAAAACTGACCATGAGGGTTTGAAGCTGGGCCACTATCCTCTGATCCACCTAGACCAGGATACAGGCAATCAGGTGGTGCATATCCCACATCACAGTGGCAGTGACCATTGTTATTGCACACACCATGGCCATTGCAGTTACATTCTCCAATCTTCAGATCTGCCACTGGCATGCATCGCTGATTCACGCACATCTACCGGAATGACACGTCATTGATAATCATCAAAATATTTATCATGAATTTTTCTAAGACCTCAACACATTACCCAAAACTTCAAAGAAGGAAATTGGTGTTTTTTTGTTTGTGTTGTGGTTTGTTTGTGTTGTGTTGTTTGTTTGGTTTGGATTTGGGTGTTTTTTGTGTTGGTTGGTTTGTGTGTTTGTTTGTGTTTTGTGTTTTTTGTTGTTGTTGGTTGTTGTTGTGGTTTGTTGGTTGTTTTGTGGTTGGTTTGTTTTTCTGGTTGTTGTGTTTGGTTGTTGTTTGGTTAATGGTGTTTAATTGTTTTGTGTTGTTTGTTTATGTGTTGTTTGTGTGCTGTGTTGTGTGTTGTGGTTTTTTTTGTTGTTAGTTGTAATGTGGTTATTGTTTTGTTTGGGTGTTTGTTGTATTGCTTGTGTTGTTTATTGTTTGTGTGTTTTGTGTTTTTGGTTGTGTGTGTTTTTGTGGTGTGTTTTGGTTTGTTTTGTTGTGTGTTGTGTTATGGGTGTTATGTTTTGGTTTTTTTTTGTTGTATGTTTGTTTTGTTTGTTGTTTGTTTTTTGGGTTGTTGTTGTAGTTGTTTGTTGTTGTGTGTTTTGGTAGTTTTAAGGTTGTATTTGTGTTTTTAATTGGGTGGTGTGTATTGTGTGTTGGGTTGTTGTTTGTTTTGTTGTTGGTTTTGTGTTGTGTTGTTGTGTTGTGTTTTGGTTTGTGGTTTTTAAATTGGGTTTGTGTGTGTGTGTTGTGTGGTTGTGTTTGTATTTTTGTTGTTGTGTGTTGGTTTATTGTGATGTTTGTGGTTGTAATTGTTGGTGTGTTTGTTTTGTGTTGTTGTTGTCGTGTGATGTGTTGTTTGTTGTACTTTTGATCTGTTTTTTGTGTTGTTTAATGTTTTTGTTTTGTTGTTGGGTTTGTAATTTTTATGTTGTTGTTATTGTTGTTTGTATTTGTGTTTGTGTGTTATGTTGTTTTATTGTTGTTGTGTGGTGTATTTTGTTGTTGTTTGTGTTTTTGTGTTGTTTGTTGGTAGTGTTTGTGTATGTTGTTGTATTTTGGGTTTGGTGTTGTGTTTGTTTGTTGTGTTTGTTTTGTGTTTTTTTTGGTTGTTGTTTGTAGTTTTGGTTTTTTGTGGTTGTTTTGTATTAGATGTTTGTGTTTTGTGTTGGTGTTTGGGTTTGTTGATTTGTTGTGTTTGATTTAAAATGGTGGTTGTTTTTGTTGTTGTGTGTGTTGTGTATTGTTTTGTTGGTTGTTGTGTTTGTCTTTTGTTTGTTGGTTATGGTTGTGGTATTTGGTGTGTGTTTGTTGGGTGTTTTTGGTGTTGTTGTTGTAGTTTGTTGGTTGTGTTTGGTGTGTGTTGTTTTTTTTGGGTGGTTGTGTGTTTTGTGTGTGGTTTTGGTTTGTTGTTTTTGTTTTATTTGGGGTTTGTGGTTAGTGTGTTTTGTTGTTTTGTTGTTTGTGTTGTGTGGAATTTGTTAGCTATTTGTAGGTTGATTGTGTTGTTGTTGTGTTTGGTTTAATGTTTTGTTAACTTGTTTTTGTGTTGTTATTTGGTTTTGTTGTTGGTTTGTTTTGTTTGTTTTGTTATGGTGTTGTTGTGTTGGTGTTGGTGTGTTGTGTGTTTTGGTTTTTTGTGTTGGTTTGTTGTGGTGTTGTTGGTTTTGTTTTGGTTGGTTGTGTATTGTTGTGCTGTGTTTGGGGTTTTGTTGTTTTGTTGGTGTTTGTTTGGTTGGTGTTGTTGTTAATGTTTGTTGTGGTTGTTTTGGTTGTTTGGTTGTTTTGTTGATGTTTTTGGGTTGTTGTTTGTTGGTTCTTTTTGTTGTTGCTTAAATTGTTGTTGTGTTGTTTTGGTATTGGTTGTTTTGGGTTTGGTTTGTTGTGTGTTTGCCTTTGTTTTGTTTGTTGTTGTGTTTTGTCTTTGTTTTTGTTTGTGTTGTGGTGTTTGTTGTGGGTTGTGTTTGTGTTGTGTTTGTTGTGTGTTGTTTTGGTTTGTTGTAGTGTGTTGAATTTGCTTTGTTTGTTTTGTTTGTTGTTGGTTTGTTGTTGTTGTGTTGTTTTATGTTGTTTTTGATGTTTTTTGTTTTGTTATGTTGTTGTTTTTGTTTGTTGTTGTGTTTTTTTGTGGTTGTTGTTATTGGTGTTGTTGTTTTGGGTTTGTGTTTGTAACAAATGACAGTATATCAATTAACACAAAAATTCACCTCCTTCTTACCTTGCCTTTTCCGCATTTGGCCCCATCAGGTGCAAGGCCCGGATCAACCATATCCAATCCCATATCAACTAAGGCTACACGACAGGGAATAACACCACTACTACTCTTGAGGAAACTATGCGAGACTTTGCTCACACTCTCCATGCCAAATTCAAGTCGCTCATTAAGATGCATACAGTGAAGCATTCCACATTTGATATCCCTATGTAAATAAAAATAATTAAATAAATAAATAAAAACAAAATATTTCATCAATATTATGCAGTATATCAGTCTTTAAACCAAATTTACCGAAGAGCTTTATACCATAAATCTTGTATAAAATAACAATATCAATTTCTTTAAAAATCAACAAAGATATATCAGAAGAGCAAATGGTATACTTCTAATACATGTTAAAGAAACTTTGACACTTGCCTGTCACTGCACTTATTATATGTATCGTTCACCCAATTGTATCCACAGTTCCCATTCTGGTTGCCTTGTGTGTTCATCATGTAACAGCGGTCATCTGAACTCTGGCCTGTTGGACCCCACAGTAACTTGCACTGCTCTCCATGCGTACGGCACATCCCATTATGGCAAAAGGCCTGGAATAATAAAAGCAGTCTTCATAAACTGAAATGTCTTATAAAATGTAAAAATTGTAATGAAGATAAAATAATTATAGACTAATTGTTTTGATTAAATTCTTCTATATAAAATAATCATATATAGCTTGATTAATCACTATTAATTGAATGTGTATGGAAATTCAGTTACTGAATATTCCAGACTTTTAATCAAAGTTGAATAAATTGGAAAGAATTACATAGACCTCTACAAAACATCTTAATAGAAAGATTGCAATAATAACTTCATAATTCTTACCTGTCCTGCCATGCATTCATGGCCATCTGACTTGAAGGAATCATCAGGGCAATATTCTGAGTCGCCCGTACAATATTCAGGGAGATCACACTCATGAACAGCAGTTCTGCATTTAACCCCAGCAAGTTTTGGTCTACAAGTCTGGAAAATGATTGTGAAATGAGATTTTGCTTAAAAATCAGGATGCCTTATTTACCCTTGATCTTAGTTTCAGGTCTTGAAAGACCTTATGTATTCATATGCTAATTTTGAATACATACTGGTAAGGTGATAAGCCAACAATCATTTTATCTAAATAACATTTACAAGAGCAATCACAATATAGAACTGCAATATTGATAGATACCTCTAAGTCACAACAATGTCCTGTAGCACATGTAGCATTTGAGTAAAGCATACAAGTTGCTGCATTGCAGCATGGATTGTTGCAGTAGTCTGGCAAACCACAGTCACACTGTTCCCCAGGTTCCACAAAACCATTTCCACACACTGGAGAGTCAAACAGTCTTGTTGGCTTGTTTCGCAAGCAGTAGTCCATTGACCGTTCAAAAGATAGTGCCAAATATTCATAACTGCAACTACTCCAGTGGGTTGGACTCTTCGACCTGAAAAAAAAAAAAAAAAAAAATCTAAAATTGTACCATAACAACAAAAAAGTAGAAAATTAATATGTATATTTGTATACTGATCAGACTTCTAACACACTTTAAAAACTCCAACAGAAAATAAAACATTTATGTTTATTTCAAACATAACATTGTAGAAGACACTTTTCATATAAAAGAAAAGCTAAGCCAAGAGCAGTCATCCCATTAAAGGACATTCCTTTCCTCCATCTGTAACAACATCAAACATTTCCAGTTCCTTAACATAATTGCTCCAGAGAATCAGATCCTTTCTGGTGCATAATTATTGCAAAAGTCTTACTTGTCATAAGCTAACATGACTGATAAAAATTGGAAATTCTGAAAGTAAAGGAAACAGCAACTCCAGCTTTGACCATGAGATGATCAGAGAGTTCAGAGATAAATACAACTATATATCTTTTTAACTGAATATTTGATGGCATTATATAATGTCAGCCTACCAGGTGACAAAGTTTTTATACAGGTTATAGTGAGAAAGTAACTACATATTCCTTTGATTTATCTTTCTATTAAATGCTATATATTTCAAGGGAATGCCCATTTATGCTTTTACTAGCAGAGCATTATACTTACCCAGAGGACGGGGCCATAATGCACCGCTTGTCTGGGCACTCGCACTCCTCCTCAGTATCATGCTCCATGCCAAAATTGTGTCCCATTTCGTGAGCAACTGTGGTGGCCACGAGTCCAACAGTATCACTGTGGTCCATGTTCACACCTCCTGAATATTGGTATGTGCAGATAGGTCCTTTTAGAGCTTTGCCCACCACTCCTGCATCGAATTGCTTCCCCCTGAAAACGATGAAACACATTCAATATTTCTAATGCATCACCTACACATGCTCTTTTAAAACTGGTTCTCCAGTCAAAATAAAATATACTTTTCTCTATCATTTAATTAAAACATCTATTACATTACAAAAAACCTTCGGTACATATTTAATTAAGATGTCTCTGTATATCACTTGCCTAAACAGAAAAATATACATATTGGCTATGGTATAACTAAAGTCCATTTCTCACGTTAGTAGTTGAGCATTGTCATTAGGGTGTTCCTGGATGAGTCGCACTTTTCTATAGTTTAGAAAATTTGTGAGAGTTTTGTCTCCATCAGTTGAGATTTCAACCTGATCCTCATCCTTCCACACTTCTACTCCCACCAGTGCGATGAAAATGTTGAGCGGTTGATACAGCTGAAGTATAAACAAAAGGAAAATTTTTTTAAACATTAGACTATATGAAATATGTATGAAGTATATGCAGAGACAAAATGCTGGAAAAAGGTTGTACACTTCTCTGATATATGTGATTCTTTAAAGTAAATCATTCTGGCTACAAAAACACTGATGACAAATAAGACACAAATATCAAAAATAAAAACAATAATGTGCCACTAATTCACTGATAAAAAAAAAAAAAATTGAATATAAACAAAAACTTACCGCATTCACTATGTTTGCAATATCTTTACAACGGTTGT